AAAGAAGTGAATGAGGGATGTCTGGTTCAGACGAGATGTTATTCAGCACACATGGTTCAGAGTATCACCTGTCACAACTCACCAGGATAGTACACTGGCAATCAAGCCCTATTATCCCCAAATTGTCGCAAGGGTTAAAGATTTTTAAAAGTACACATGACTCCCCAATTTACCTCTGTTTTAGACCCAGGCTGACGGAAAGCATGTTAAAGGACAGGTGCCTGTTGATTACTATCTCCATCTCCAAATCTTTCTGTGCAAGGATGGCCAACAAAGAAATGTCATTACCATCAGCTCTAGCACAATCTTGTTAATCTGATGGAAGGAAAAATCAAAGCAGCAAACGTACAAGACTCAGAGATAGTAGGAACTGCTGATGCTGGAGTCTGAGATAACAAGATGTGGAGCTGGATGAACACAACAGGCCAGGCAGCATCAGAGGAGCAGGAAAGCTGACGTTTCGGGTCTGGACCCTTCTTCAGAAATGGGGTAGGGGAAGGGGGCTCTGAGATTGCAGTCCATTTGGGATGATCCGGTTCTGTAGGCAGATACTGGAAAAGGCAATGTGGCTGTAGTACCTGGTTTGCTTCAGGATGTGGTCAAGCAGTTTCAGGACCAAAGAGATTACCAAAGGGTTGCAGTGGGAGAGAGGTCTTTCCGGAGGGAGGAGGTTAACTTCTTCAAGGTAGGCATCTTTAGAAGAAGCTTCGCAGTGGGGTTATAACTCACTCAGAGATTGTATTACCATGAGTTTTAACCCCACTGCAAAGCCTCTTCTAAGGATGCCTACCTTGAAGAAGTTATCCTCCGGAAAGACCTCAGTGGATCTCTCTCCCACTGCAACCCTTTGGTAATCTCTTTGGCCCTGAAAGTGCTTGACCACATCCTGAAGCAAACCAAGTACTACAGCCATGTTACCTTTCTCAGTGCCTGCCTACAGAACTGGATCATCCCAAATGGACTGAAGTCTCAGAGCTCCCTTCCCCTCCCCCATTTCTGAAGAAGGGTCTAGGCCCGAAACGTCAGCTTTCCTGCTCCTCTGATGTTGTCTGGCCTGCTGTGTTCATCCAGCTCCACACCTTGTTAAACATACAAGACTAATGTCCACAGCTAGACTCCTGATGCCTCGGTGCCAAGTGCTGTTTTACAATCCAGTTAAATAGACACTATTCTTAATGAACGCAGCAGTCTAAATGCCCTGTGCCCAGCATGTTTTGCACAACTGGTTACTCTGAGCTCATTCGATGTTGTTTACAGTGTGCCACGTCTCTCTCAGTCAATTCCCTTCTCATCCAAGTAACCCCTCTTGGGCTGTACGGCTGCCAACTGTGCCAGAGTTCAGTCCTGCTGGAGGGGAACAGGTTTAGTAAACAGAGTCATGTTGGCACTGTTGAAAGTCCCTCTCCTTTTGATGGCACACGGATAGCAGATCCCATAAAAAGGTGCTGAAAGCATTCTACAGTATACACAATAAATCAAGCACTTTTTTAAGCTCAATGCATAGTGAGCAGACTATAAATGATGAAGTCAGCTGTAACAGACCTGATGTGGCCTGGCATGCCTGTAA